TACGCCTCTTGGAGCGCGCGAGCTACAGCAATCATCAAGAAACGTCCGAACTTGCGAAGCTATACAAAGAAGCGATAAAGTAAGATCTGGAATTGAGAAGAACAGAGCTACCGAGGCCAAAGGAGCATCCACAAAGCTCGTAGCTTTGCCGATCAGCCGCTTTCGGGACAATCACGCGACAACTAGATATAATGGGTGATGGGACGTCGGCGGCCACTACTGACATCTTCACCGCTTTGCAGCGCAAACGAATGTCAATTAATCAACTCTATATTTCAGCATCACTCAAACTGCATACACGTCTTTGCCGGAGAGATTTGACCGCTCTTTTTTGAGCCTCATTCTCTTATTCCCAAACTATGGAATATTTTCGAACTTGAATGTAGATCTTGTCTGAGCTCAGTCAACTTCCGTTTAGGATAAATGTGTTCTCAACCATGGCTAGAATTTGCACACTTTTCCTGGCTGTGAGGATTTGCAAACCCTGATGTTGATTTTTATTGTGGGTTTTACCTACATCGGTGCCAAATTAGAATTGCTAAGAATAGTTGTTCCCTCCTCCACTATTTCCAAATTCTGTTCGCAAGTGCTCACTACCCACTTACTGCAACTCCAACAATTGTAGCCGTCGACCGCTCACTCCGCTCACATCACGTCTTCCGTGAAATAAGTCCAGTCCCATCACTCACCATAAGTGTTCCCATCTTGCCGCCTGTATTCTCTTGAACCTGTGACTCTCTAGGTCCACGGAGCAGGAGTTGTGGACATACGGTCGAACACGCCCACCGTCACGAACACACACCGACACACACATGCACAAATACACGCAAACACATGCGTCGACACATGTGCTTATGGACAAACCAACAGGCACCGGAGCGCGTTGAATAGAATGGGATAACTTTCTTCTGAAGCACAGTTCACGAGGGATTGCTTCTAGGATTCAACCTAATGATAGGTCTTTGACTCTCAGCTCAGCATATGGGTCGTTAGCAAGAAGGAAAACGGCCTGAATAGGACGCAAGAGTTTCCACTTCATCTCATGCCCAAGGTGTTATGAGGATCTTGTAGAGGGTGCACTATTCGCAGTGGAGCAAGTATTTTCGAAATTCAAGCAAAACATCAGAGACAGCAGCAGTATGCAACATAAAGGAAGAAAACACAACAAACTATTAGATTGGAAGGAAAAACCTGCGACACAATGAAGGTCTTCTTCAAATCATTTCTGAAATTTTCCAGGCCAACCAATTTTCGGAAATATATTTACCAAAGAAGTCAACAACCTTCCATTATCCTTTGAGTGAATCACTGATGCCTTTTATTCAGGAGTGAGGAAGCTGTGACTCAAAGAAGTAATAGACTGCCGTTTTCAGATCACTTTAAGTTACGAATTTTTTTTTCACAACGGGATACTCAAGAAGACGGAGCGCAGATTAGGTAAAAGGGGCGGGAGTACGGCTGATGAACAACCTGGAACTAATTGGAATCGTAAAACTTTTGACGCGTGTTTAAAGCGAAACTCCGACGTGCGTTGACCCTCTGTAGGGGCCTGATTTACGGTTTTGATCGTCCTTCTCTAACCCCGCTGGCCATATTTCGGGGTTCATAGGGGTAACCGATAGCTGTGTCCGTCTAGCCTGCGTTTAGCTACTCATAGTGGATGGATCCCTTCGATATGCATTCAATTAAGGGACAATGCTTACGTGACTTTGGAAGCTAGTATCTCCTCCAGTGAAGCGATCCAACCGATTGCTGATTGTTGATCGGTGAGCAGTGCCAGCACTGAATAAGTTGCTGATAATTTGAGCTGCTACACCCGCGTTATTCCCTGGGCGTGCTTAGAAGAAGGTGATGGTACGAATCGGGTGTTGTCCATTTGTTGACCGCAATGCTGCTAAAGCCCACACGCGTGCCCTTATTTACTCATGTGTTGATTACCTGAGGAAAGTCCTACAAGTTTATCACTCTTGTAGCCGTGTTCACACTTTTGACACAAATTGTCGACGCTTCGAATTTTTTGTCGCAGGACTTTCCTTCCAACCAAATAATAACAGAATGGCAACAGTAGCAGATAATAACAACAGAACGCTTTCAAAATTATCACTGCATGCAATCCCGACTCGTGACAGTGGAAGGCAGCTTTTGATATTGCAACCAACATTTGATACAATACACAGACTAACATCTCGCCCAAACAGCACTCCTTGCTAAACTAATCATCATATTTTCGTACAACCCCTTATTTTTCTGCCTTTTAACAGCATCGCAGATTCCGCGGTTTTTCTTTCCTTCTTCGCCACTGACGCACTATTGTGCATACTCATTTCTATTGCTTTATCTAGAAGAGCTACTTCAAAATTATGGTGGACTGTGATTTCAACCCTCCAGACGCTATAAAGAAGAAATCTGACATTACTATTGTCGACTTCTGAAGTCTACGGGTTCATAATGGGCGTTGGCCTGACATTTACTCTGAAATCTTCCTCCTTCTATTTTTTTCATCCTCTTCAATGCTTAACCCATTGACGACCATGGCGTTTTGCGGGAATACCGCCGCAAGGGACCGGCGCGCTTTTCGTCCACTCTCATGGTCCACCATGACCATTTTTTGAAGTTTATAAGAGATATTTATAAGATTTCGGAATGTTCCTTCGAATGGATTTGAAAACAATGCCCACACTGAGTGATTATTGTTCTTTTTTATAGAACCTGCACTCAGTCTAGTTTTCATTCAATTATCAGTTCAATCATTACCAGTAATCGTTTTGGGGGAACTTTTACAAGCTCTGCATTTGGTCGATGACAGACANAATGCTAATGACGACCGTATTTTCGAAAAATCCCATTTTTTGAAGTTGTCCAACGAACGAAAAATTCACCAAGGTAATGTACTCCTTCGAAAAAACACCTTTACATTTGCAAAATCAGTAGATTCTCCAGGATCACGCTTTAAGTAGTTTCATTTAGACCTGATGTAATGTTTCGAATAGAAAAACTGCAAAAAAGTTGAAATATAGATGAATAAAACAAAAAATACAACTGCAGTCCACATGTGGACTGCATGGTCGTCAATGGGTTAATTATCGACAGCAGTCGTCAGATGTGCCTAGCGTCTGGTTGAATCAGTGAGCAGTCGCAGATATCGTTAAGAAGCGTCAAAGTACTGCGAACTCGCGAGCCACGTTTCACGGAAGGCCGACAACTAGAAAGTGAAGCTGTGATCCCTCTCATCAAGCTCTGAGCTATTTGTTCGTCGTGGCAGGTGTTTATGAAAAGTCATAAACCGAGGATTAATGACGTAGGCGACATGTGATAAACTACTGCGAAAAAAGGTTTTGTGTTTGAAACAATTACCAAGCGCACGAATCCTCGATAGAATTGCTGAGCTCGACGCATGCTCCTTCACAAGCGTGTATTCTGAAGCCTACAAATTTTCATCAACCCGATCAATTACATTATAGGCCCATGTCTAATGAAGAAAAGTAACAGATGAATCATTCGTGGGAATCGTCCAGTTGCGTCCCACAAAGTTTTGTTATTACTGAGCTGCTCCACCGTTTGACTTCACGAGAGAGTCAAAGAGCTTATACGGAGAGATGGGTTGTATTTGTTTGAAGTTTGTGGTACCCATTGAGTCACCTGTGCAATTAATTCACCTGTACCACCTGCCGTGCCGTTGATTGTTGATTTCCTCGAGTGGGTGCCCCCCACTGGCCTACCACCTCAATGCGGTGGGTGGTCGAAACGTGCGTCGTATAGTCGTGTCCGCTTTGACACTTATTTATCAAAAATAAAGCCGAGTTTTGTAAATTCTTTAGTATTTCATCATACGCTCCAATGTAGGTTCCAGTGATTTTCAGTCATGCGAGGTTCCATATTGACCGGTTTGCCGCTTCGCGTTCCGGGCTGTGCTTAGGTGGTTGTCGAGGAACTGAAGGGATGGTGCCCCCCCCCCGTCTGAGTTCCCCTTATCGGTCCGCCCGAGGTTGCGGTTGAATTCGTTCTTCACGCCACAGCAAATCCCGGTACATTACGTCTGGATGACTTCATTCTGACCTAAGGGCAAGGAATCGCTCGAGAGATTACCTGCCTGCGAAAAGATAGGCAATCTATCGCCCTGCCACATCCTTTCGTTTTTTCCATCAGATAACGGTTTGTATGGTCCGAAAGCTCTCGCCAACGTTTTTCTACTGTTCATTGAAATGCCGTATAGAGTTTCCATTATCCTTTTCAATAATATTTACACAAAAATATATAAGTATATAATCCCAACGGCACATCTGCATGTCCACACGGCTAGGTGTGGGTCCCCCACGTGTTGGAGCCTAGCAAGCTACACGTGGATATTCATATGCCGAAAACAGTGAAAAAAGGGCCTCATTCCCTGAAGCTGGGGGTGCAACTAATGCACATACAAATAATATGAGCACCAACAGAGTAACAACAAAGTCAGATACCCTCTGATGTCGCGGGCTGTTTTTAAAAAAGGAAGAAACTTTCTCGGTGGGAGCGGACTTCACCGCTATTGTCTCCCTCTATGAAAGACGAAACAAATATTACCTCTTAAATTAGTAGCAGTGCACGAACCTACAGCATCGTTACTCAACGTATACATATTATATATATTATATATTATATTACATTATACATATTATACTTTATCGGTATTTGTACATTTCCGTTGAGCTTCATAGTTGAACACATAGATAATTAATCTTAGGTGAAATGTATAATGTTATGGAGTACTTGGAGGCACGTCTAAAGCCTTTCCTACACGGCTTTCAGCGGCTCACATGCTGGAGATGCTAACGGAATGGTGATTCAAAAGAACTGACGGGTCTGGCGACTGTGGTTGGGAATAATATTTGGAAACCTACTTGGACGTGGCGATCAACCTTCTGCTCACACCTCTTGGAGAAGCGGTCACTCAACGCATATGATCTGATGGTCGACGCTCCCTCGAGTAAGTATGCAAATAATTCCGAGTAATTGGCATTCATTCAAACAATTACCTGCACGGTTTCGCTGAGATGACTGTATATAGGAGACCGAGTAATAGACTCAAGGCGTTTGAGCTGCGTAGATGTAGAGAGGTAGAATCGCTGGAATAGTGGAACAAATTCCATTCTGTTTATTACTAACCGCAAAAATTCAATTGATTAGAGCACTTACCAAAATTGTAACATACAAAAATGTCAAAGGAACGACAGCTACACAAAACATTGGCGTAGAAATCATGATTATAATTAATGTTGATACCACTTGCAGCAAGCACTGTAGAAAACATTGAATATTCTGCGGCAGAAGTAAATCAACTACTTCAATATCCTGTAATAAGGACAGTTTGAAGACTGATTCTGCTGCTATTGTTCCTGAGAGCAGAGACTAACTTTCCCAATGCGATTCAGGATTCTTCCAAATGAAGTCGTGTCAAAAAAAGACATTGGAGCACGGAAAACTGAACAAAGTAGTGGCGCATGAAGGTTCCGCGAAGCAGAAACTCCTCCACTCAGCAGTGCAACTATACTCACAAAAAACAGAAAGACTGAAATAATATTATTTCAGACAAATGAATACAAACTTAACGATAAGATTGTTACTGGACAGTCTTTAATAGAGAGGAAACTTGGTTCTCAACGAGTTGATATGTGCCTTCATCACGGCAAAATTGAAAGGATGCAACAAAGGCTTTCAAAGGGTGATTCAGATACCACTTTCCTTCCCCCTCCCTCTCCGTAATAGTGAAAGGAAATGTTAGTGGCTATCGGACCTCTACTCTCCCGATTCTCAGACAAAGTTTGTCGTGGGAAGGAAACATACCAACTCCCAGAACGCCGAAATTTATTCTGAATTACTTCTGCAAAAATGTTCTGCACGACTAATCTTATCGCCAACAATGCCTTCGACAGGTATTATTTTCGACTCTGATCGCACCTTCTGCAAACCCAAGCATAGCATAAATCAAGAGCCTTCTTCTGACGGAGCTGAATTCAGCAGCTTCACTTTGAGAGTGCACATTACAATCGGACCTTAAAGCTGCCGGTGAGCCAACTCAGAATACGATATGTATGTGAAACATTATTAAATATCAAATTATGATACGGATCACCTAGGATTTACTTCTGAGGAGGCAGTTTAAGGTGTTGGCACATCGAAATGCAGCCTGGGCAGGGCGCAGCAAAGACTCAAAAACATTGGTAAACGTCATCGAGACTTCTAATTTGGAGAACTATTTCGAGTACTGCGTCGAGGCGGACTGTTGCACACATAGCAAGAGGAGTGGTAAACACCGCCGCGACTGTTTGTTTAATCACCAGGCTTGTTCGCGATTGACATCACAAAATTGATAAGGTGATTTGAAGATGAGTTATGTCCCGAGATTTCTGTCGACATACTCGATTTTCACAACTGCCCCACAAATCTGCATCAGCACCAGTCAAATCAGTGACGGGACTGGAAAAATCAAAAGGCTGAGCACATGGTAATGATAAGGGACAACGTTCCGAGTGTACGACTGATGAACAACCTGGAACGAAGCGAGTCCGGTAGAATTCTGACAGAAGTCTGAAGCAAATTTCGACGTGTGCTGGCCTTCAGAAAAAATATGGATTTAATCGTCTTCATCTTATAACTTTGGTCGAATACTGGATTTTACAAGGGTAGATACAGCTGTGACTATCTAGCCCACAAATAGCTACTCATAATGGGTGAGTCCTTTCACACCACTAAAAACAATGGCACCATGCTTGCGCTACCTCGGAACTCAGCATCTTCTGAAGTGAAGCGATATAACCGATTGCTGACCGTTGATCGATGATCAGTGTTAGCATCCAGTAGGTTGCTGATAATTTGAGCCGCTACACCCGCTTTTCCCCGTGGAAAACCCTGCTGGGGGTAATGGCACGAATCGGGTGTTGTCCCTTCATTGGCGGTAGCGCTGCGGAAGCCTACGTGGGTGCCCCTGTTTACACACGCTTGGATTGCCAGGGAAATGTCCTAGTAGATTTTCATCATTGCTGCCATAATAACATTGTTCACAAAAATTCTTGAAGCTTCGAATTCGTTGTCGGAGAACTTCCTTGCCAACATTTACAATCGAGAGCCTGACGGTTTTCTACTATCAAATCTCACGCCTTCAAGGATAGCGCTTGTAGTAATGCGTAACTTGGGCTACCTTCCCAATATTCTACATCCATCATGGTATCGTTCACACAAATATGGTCCTTGAGAGTGGTATGAATCGGATACCCACGTATGTCACGTGAACCCTTGTTAGTCCAAAAAACAGCCTAAATTGGGAGCCACGAGTGCACGAAAAGAGGAAAGCAGTTTCGGCATTTCTTGCTTATTGTAACCAGCTCTTTACCCTACTGCACATGACATGAGTTCAAATACCTATTCATACCGTTTCTGTCATTGGGTTTTCGTGCAATTCCCAGTTTTCACTACTTCGAACGGCCTCAAATCCCTGGAGTTCTGAAAATTTTCCTCTTTTCTCGCCACCGATGTACTATTCCCCGTCAACTGTTTTTACATATTTCAAGGAGTACCTTAGAATCGTAAACTGTACTTTAAGTGAAAATGGTCGTTTCTGCACTGGAAAGCGCTTTCATTAGCGGATGAAGGTCACATCTTTACCGTTTGGCTTTTACTCACCATTCAGTCAGCCACACGTTTCTAGACATCGAAAAAAGCGAACTCGAGCTCATTCCGACGATGAATAATGCAGCAGGAATGACACCCATGGCACCACAGTAAGTAAGATATGTGTCGAGCTTCATCTGAATGAGCGGTTTCGGTGTGAGCTATCGGAATGTAAGCTTTCAGAAGTGTTCTACAACACTAGTTGACGGTTTACAGGCTAACGATTGACATTACTACCTTATGCGCACCGTGTATGCTGCCAAACTGTCACCGATGAGCGCAGAACTTATGTTGTATAAAAAATCCCAAGATTCGATAATAGAGGTGACAGTGAAGATGGAAAATTCATAAAATGAGCTTTTCAGGAATTCTAGACGAGAGGGCCGTTTTTGACTTGCCGTAGAGTAGTGTAAAATGAGTCAGAATGACTCGTGGATGATGACATAATGTATGAAGGAATCGAAGACAGAATGTTCCTAGGTTTGGTTCAAATCATTGCGTGCACTAGAGACAACCTGCAAAAAATGTTCACAGAAAAAAGCACTTGCACGATGAAATTGTTATAGAAATGCATTTCCACAAGGGTATAGAGTAGGGTAGAAAAAACGGTTCGGTGCAGGAGAATGGGAACTATAGGTTTCCGGTGAAACACATACACTTCGTGAGCGCCTTGCTTCCCATGAGCGAAATCCTGCTCAATTCACGTTTTTTGAGTAAATTTGTTCGTTATCTCTTCTTTCATCTCCAGTCGTGTCAAACGCCATCAGCATTCTCGTACGTGCCCGTACACCTATCGAATCTGTGCGATCTAGGTCCAATTTGACAATTTTTGAGCAAGCCTCTCCACGCTTATGGAGAATCTAGTTTGGTACTGCCATCAATGTTTCCATTCTGCCGCCTGACTCCTACCGAAAGAGGTTTTATGAGTTCTCAGTCAAAGATACACTGACACACCCACCGTTACGCACACATACACCCGCGCACACACACACATACCACCATACATACACACAAGACTATCATTACTCCTTCCCTTTCCTTCTCGGAAAAAATAAATAGTGAGCAGTAGTTCCATATCGAGTAATACGAATCAGTACTGGTCAATATTGGTTGCCACAATCGATCGCTGCGTTTACAACTATATCCCCTCAACGTTTCTCCAACGCCCTCACAGCTGGAACATCGCGCCGCTTAAGAGAAAAAAGTGGCTATTGATCGGTTCACACAAAAGACAGGTATAGCAAATCGCTATATTGACCAACATTTCTACCATGCGAATACTCGAATAAAGTAGTAAAGCTGTGGATTAACGGTGCATAATGGAGAAAGCTTCTGAACAGGATTGCACTCTTCGGACTCTACTTTTCC